CAGTGATACAGTTTTAAAAGGGTTTTGGAATGAAATCAATACAGATGGAAATAGTGGTATCTGCAGAAAGGCTTCTCCATCAGTGGAATGAGTCCTTGGTTCTTGTTAGGGGAGGTGATAATTTGTTTTGTGAATTCACTGATGCAAAGACAAAGCAAAAAAAGGAACCCAAAGATGAAAATCCCAAACTGTTCAAGCTTTTGATATGTGAGAGTAACTGGTACTTAGTAATAAGCTGATGGTGAGCAGGAATTGGTAAAGAAAAGAGAAACACTGTACCAGTATTATTTATTTATTTTTATTCCTCAGTCAGTAGCATTCTGGAAGCACTTTGACATGTCTCTGTCTTGCAGTTGCATTTATTTTCATTTTGGTAAACCCTAAGGTCTTTTATTTTTTGCTTATCTCTAAATCCTTTATTACTACTCTCTTTGAAAAAGTGTCTGAGCAGAAGATGCTTTGAGTTACATGAGCACTAGTGAGTTTGATAACAAGATTTGCAGTATTTTCAGTAATATAGGAGGTTTTCCTTAGGCTTTTTAATACTTTACTTGTTGTCGTTAGTTAGGTAGTGAAAAGATTTCCTCACGGAAATTTCCCAATGAAAAATGAGCTTTTTTCTCATGTTTTCTGATGATTATATTGGCATAGCAAAGTACATATATGTGTAACCTAATCACCTTTGCCTTTTCTGTGTGCAGTCCAGCTCTGTATTGCATCCCTCTGAATTAGCATAAACTTGGTTCTTATTCTGCTTAAAAAAATTGTGTCTACTTGTAACCCGCTTATGAAATGCTTTCTCCAAACCGTTGTTCCTTTTAAATGTCAAAACCTTAGTGCCAAATTTTTGGCAATGACCAAACAATGACCACTGATCCCCACTTGGTGTTTGGTGCACCCAGGTGGAGATCACAGTTGGTGGGGCATTGCTGGAGTGGTTTCTAGGCCAGATGAAGTGTTCCTATACAGCAGTAATATCTAATTCATACAGAATTTTTAGTGATACATTTGTAAGATAACTTTTTCACGAGAAGCTTGTGGTGTCTACTGCGTAGGTACTGAGAACCACGTGAATCTTCATCCCCCCAGAAAACCCCGGGGGGGGATGTGGTAGGGAGGAGGACACACAACTCTTCTGCCAGGTTCAGAAACTACCTAAACCTCCAAAATTTCCCAGATTAAATGTCCCCAGGACTGAAACAGGTTTCTTTCTAAGTTGAGCTTTCAAATGGAAGTAAATCTCCAGTGGTGTAGGCTCCAAAATTCACGGCTCTAAAAGGTTCAAGCCAATCAGCCTCCTCTAGGCAGTCTCACAGCTTTTAACCCACACCGTGCTCTCTCTTCAATAATGCATTGCCCTGAGGTAAAAGTGGATTGTTTCAGACGTGGATAAGCAGCCAGAGAAGAGAAGCAAACATCCCTGCAGAGCAGAGTTAGTTTGCTTTGGTTTTTCTTTTTTCTCTGGGAATTACAGGTTTTCTGTATGAATAACATCCATTACCTGTTTAACCCTTTTGCCAGGCAGCCACGTGGGGCTGTGCACAGCCCGGCACACCAATCCATCACAGTCACCGGAGAAGCGAAAATTTATACAAAAGCCAGTGACTTCAGGGACTTGTGATGGGTTTCAAAGTTGGTTTGGCTGCCTGTGTATGTGTCAAGCTATTTGTAATCCTGCAGTGGATTTTCATCTCTTCATCATCAGCGTATCAGGGACACGTTTGTAGGGTCAGGAGTCTCTACAAAAAAAATATGGAAGAGTTTCTTGACCAACTCATAAAAGCACTTCTTTCATCCTGCTCTCTGCTAGGATTGATTTTCCTCAGCAGATGTCAGTGAAAGGAGTGGGGTAGAAGCGAGGGAGGTGCCTTAATTTATAGTTCTTGCTTTTGATGGGTGAGTTTTAAATTGCACCGAGGCATGGACTTGGCTCATTGTGTTACTGGCATTTTAGCTACTGCTCAATTCCAGCTTCCATTTTAACTTATTAAATTATCTTGGTTAAAATTCTGATATGATTCCCCCCCCCCAAAGCAAAATTCCAGAAGAATAGTTCAGTAAATCATTTAAAGACTATATGTTTTATGCTTCAATTTAAACAATAATTGTTTAAATTATTAAAATGAAATTAAATAAAATTATTAAACAAATAATTATTAAACAAAATTATTAAACAAAAATTTAAATTATTAAACAAAATTAAACTCATTAAACAAAATTAATTAATTTCTAAAGTACCTTGGTGAAACATAAGTTGTATTGTTTCAACTGTTAGTCCTGGAGAAGCTATCATGAATTTTTTAGCTTTATAACTGTTTAAAGAAGCCTAATTTGGAAGGAAAATGCAGGACTCTATTTTCCTTTGTGATATTTTGTACAGTGTGACAAAGAGTCAGCTCAGACAGGACATATTTTGTATTTTCATGTTATGAGAAGACCTGACCCAGAGAATGCTTAAGCAGGTGTTCTGTACCAAAAAATTACTTTACCATGTCACTCTACATCTATCTGTCTATCTGTCTACCTATCTATCTCTAAGTTATGGAAAAAATATAGAATTACTAGTGCAGAGAAACTACACAAACTGAAAGAGGTTAAGGTGTGAAGACTGAAGGTATCAAAATATCCAGAGAAGCAAAGCATTGTGCTTAGATATTTTCACTTGGGATTGTGGAAATAGAAAACATAAAACAAACTCTTGCTGCTTCAAGGAGAATCTTTTGTGTGATGCCTGGAAGAAGCCACCAAGTGACTGGCTCAGTCAGCAAAAGCTCGTGGTTGTGGAGGAACTGTGGTCACCTGGAACCAGGTGGTGTGTTCCCTAAACCTTTATTAAGAAATTGAGAAGATGAAGGTCATGAGAAGGCATCTAATTCCATTACTTGGAACACTAAGTGATAAACTTGGTAGATGTGACACCTTGCTGTGTCTGTAAAAATGGCCTGAATCAGAGGGTGGTCTGTTCATGCTATTGTCAAGAATATTTTTTCCCAATTTGCACTGTTTCTTGATTAAACTGTATCATAGATTGTATCAAATCACTGAAAGTTAAGAGAAAAATTGTAATACCTCCAGAAGCTTTTGCCCTTGGTAACCTACTTTCTAATTAACCTCCAAGTTGAATATAACATAAGTCTTTCTGTAGAAGTAGAGGTGCCTCTGATGATTAGGAAAAGAAATTGATTATTCAAAGGGTTCAGTGTTTTAAATTATTCCCTAACATCTCCTTGGGGACTTCTCATTAGTGTTCTTATTGGCAGCACTAAATTATATAAGTAGTCTCAATATATTTCCAATTCCAAGGAGAAATTTAGAAGTTCAAGAGTTTTCACATTTTTATGTTCTTAATATCAACATTGGTAAAAATAGTTCTCTTGCAGGTGAGATGCTTCTGGAGGTAAAACTGGACAGTCACATACCTAAGTTGTCATTAATTTAGGTCATGGCAATAATGAAGATCTTTTATGAAGTTGCATTAGTTTATTAGAAAAGATAAAATTGCCTAAAAGAATCTTAAATTCCTTTGTATGAGGTAGGTTGAGGAAAGTCAGAGCTGTACACCGAATTATGTGTTTTGGTTCTGGTTTCCCTTTCCTGGTTTTGTTACTTTATGCACTACAAGTTGTAGAAATCTATGATCCTGATGAATCACAATCTGTTATGTCACTGATGCCTTAATAGCAGATACTTATGGAAGGTTGGATTACACCTTATTCTAAAAGTGCAGCAAATTGTTCGTGGGCTGTATTTGCATTTATTGATACTTTTGAAAGAGAGATTGATTATACTTTACAGTTCAGACAGACCCAAGTAATGGGGAATTTATGCAAGTAAGATCCAGAGGCTTATTTGGCTTAAACAGGATATATAAACAAATGGTTCCTGGCTAATTAATTGGTTTTTGCTATTTTTTGGCATAGACCACATAACTCTTTTGTTGGCATAGTGTGTTAGCAACTCTGAGCACATTGGGAATGGAGAGTTGAGTTCTTGTACTTTGAGTTGAACCCACTGAGATGTAGAGCTGTCACCATTCTGTGTCTAGAACAAACATTTGCTTTGGGAGCTTCTTCAGACTTTGTACCCTGATCCACAGACATCTGTAGTAAATAATTTGTCACCGCGGTGCTCAAGAAGGATTCCTGAGAGAAAATGTACATAAGTTTAATTCATGCATCTTTTACTGAGTTCTGACATACCTAATTCCAAACTTCAGCTTCACAGACTTTCGTTTCATTATTGCTAATTGCTCAGAATTAATGAATATTTAGAGTCTCATAAGCAAGAGAGAACATCACTAGTAATTAAGATGCAGCAGGTTATCTGATTTGATTTTACTTCTACATCTACTTGATAAGTTGCCTAAAAAAGTAATTGGCTTGTATATTTTAGCAGTATTTACAGATTTCAACTTGAAGAGTCAGCTCTGATACACGACTTGGAAGCAGATTTACATCCAAGCTGCCACTCTTGATTGGTAGGAATGCACAAGTTTCAAAAAATCATGTTTGAAACCGGTACTCTCACACATGCTGTTGTGTAGAAAGAAATAATTATTTTTCTTTTTTTTTTTTTTTTTAAGCAAGGGCAAAAAGAAAGGAAAAAAAAACCTCCTACAAAGTGAAAACAATACAAACAAACAGTCACCTGGAGCTTTAGTGATGTGTTGGACCCAGATAAAAGGCTTTAGTAGAAGGCAGATATATCACAGTGAAGCCACTGAGCTTTGAGATGAAACCAAATGTAAAAGCAAACAGAATTTGATGGGGCTGTTTCTCGTCCACGGAACTGATCTGTGTGGGCTTTGTTTTCCTTTTAACATGGTGCAGATATCTTTAGGACTTCCACTCGTGTGTGTTTTGAGTCTGTGTATTAGGCATGCCCACGTATCAAGAAGGGTGACCAAGAGTGCACTTGGGAGTTTGTGAAGCTTTGTAGGATTTTTGAAACCTTTTCAAAGCTTTCGAACTAATGTGTCGTTACTAAATGGATTTTCACAGTGCCAAGTCCAGAATGATCCCTCTTTGCACTGGGTGCTTTCTTATCCTACTGGGAAAATACCTTAAAAATTAGCACAAGAAGCAAGTGGGTGAGTGTGGACTCTTTCATCATCCATTTATATGTATATGTATATATATTTATATATACACACACACACACATATTTGGATATATACATATATATTTGTGTACACACAAATATATATTTGTATACACACACACATATTTGGATATATATTTGTATATATACATATATATTTGTATATACATATATATTTGTATATATTTGTATATATATACACACAAATATATATTTAGGTTCAATAAAAACATAATTGATGACTTTCCAAATTACTCCTGTGTTTTTTGCTGTACTGTATAAATATTAGAAGGGATTCATGGTTGCAATCTCTTTTTTGTACATATCATCCTCCAACATTGATATGTTTGAGAACAGAGTTTAAATCTGGGGTCGGGGTGGGGGAACGGCGACATATAACCCCCTGACCTTCAGCAAAAGGTAGTCTGTGTTCCGTCAAGAAGTTTTAGTTCTTGGAGAAGTTCTTTTTTTCTCCTTCTTAGACAAAAAATTCCATGTTTCAGAGCAAAGATGCAGCACTTGTGCCAGCTGTGAGTGCACTGGGTTCAGTTTGTTTGTCTGAGCCTCCAGAGACATCTTGTCTATACCAGACACGTATAGGCATTTAATATGGCTCATTTCACCTCTGAAGCATCAGATTAGAAACTACTGAAGAGAATCAATTTGGAGCAAAAATGTGAACAGACTTTTTTTTAATTTAATGATTTTCTTGATGTTACATAATATCAGAACAGATTAGAAAATGAATAATGGAGCATCAGAAGTTCTGCTCATCGAAGCCAAACTTTTGTGTGTTTCTAAATGAATATTAAAGTGTTTCATATAACAGAGCACAGCAGATCTTGACTTGACAGTGAGGTAGGGTGGTGGCATTAGCACTGTGGACACCACCACATCCCACTCCCCCTGGATGTTGTTACATGAAGCTTTACTTTTTTCTGGTCCAGAACGGCAGCAAAGAGGACCCAGAAGCCACATTCCATCTGTGGTTGTGCTCTGAGCAATCCTAGAGAAGGGAATACGACTTGAGGGTGGTTAAATGGGAGAGAAGGATAATTTTTACAGTCATTATTACTCCCCATCTCATCAAACTCTTCTCCCCTTATTTTTCCAGTAGTCTGCATTAATTAACTTATTGAATGGTGTGATTCTAGCAAAGCTTTCTTTGTTATAGATCCTTGCAGAGAGGTATAGCCTGGACTTCATAGATTTGAGTTTCCTTCCTGTTGGTAGAACGTGGATAACATGTAGAAAAGTGACTCAGATTCATCATAGGAAAATATCACATGTAATAAGTCTATACTGCTTAAATGTTTTTAAAGCAACAGTTTCCTAAGAGTGACTGTTGAACCGTGAAAAATGTGTTGAATTTGGGGGAAGCAAAAGTAATAGATGAGAGTGGGATCATTAAAATAAATAGATGATGTGTGTGCTTTTCATTCCTACACAGTGATCATCTGTATTATTATGTATTAATACACATAATTAACTATACATATAATTAAAATCATTCAGCTACAGCTATTTCCTCAGTCAGTAGAGACCTGTTCCTACCTCATTTCTTGTTGTATGTTTTCAGTGGTTTTCATGTGAACAGAATTTTATTGAAACGTGGAGAGAATCCATTAACATAAAAGGTTTCTATCAGACAGAATTATATTAGCAAAACTACCTTTCTTTTCATATTGTCACATAGCAAATGTCCTGAAACTGCAAGTTACAAATATTTGTGGGTTTTGAATGCAGATACTTGTTGAACACAAGTGAAACAGTGAAGTTATGTAACCACTTAACTCGCTGGCAACTCCCATCAGCCATATCACAAGCCAGATTTGGGAGAGGTTATAGATTTAAGACTTTCAATGGAGTAAAATATTAAATATGATTTTTAAAAGCAGTTAAATATTGCACATCAAACAAACCAGAAGTATGCAAACCCTTATTCTGCACTGCTAAAGCGTGTTACCACCTCACTTCGAGTAAAATCCTCTGAAATATCACTTCTTGCACCTTTTTTTCCTCTGCCTTGCGTGGTTCTATGAGAAATAAAAATATGGTTTTTATAGGCGTATGGCGAAGTTGTAAGATATTCAAGCCCCAGACTGGGAATGGGTATCAGGGACTTTTTTGGCTGGATAAGGGAAATCTAAAAGTTCCTAAAAACTAGAATTTTCCGGGACAACGTGAGAATTTTTGTACACAAGGGTTTCTTCTCTCTCTGGGCTAAGAACAAAGGAAGATCCATCATTTTTGACAGAGGATGCCCAGCAGCCAATCGAAAGAAAGGGAAAGCCCCTTTTCAGAGAAAAGAAACCTTTTTAGGCAAAAATGAATACACCAAACTTGTCTGAAAAGGGTGGGGATTTTGTGAAACTATAAAATGGATGGAATTTAAACCGAAGGGGTCTTTTTCCCCGAAAACTCGGTGCGAGAAAGACCCAGCGCGTTGAATAAATTCTTCCTTGTTTCTTTGTTCCCTGAGTTTATGCCTTCTTTCTAAATTTAAAAAGAGGGATATTTCCCACAGTTCTTTATGCCTTTGTCAAGTTTTTATTTCCTAGTTTCACTTGTCTCTCAGCAGTCAGCATTTCCCCTGACTGGTGATGTTTCTCCCTCATGCTGAGCTCTGGTGTTCACCACGTGCCACCCCTCGACTCCATCAGTTCTCTCTGCTTTGGACTTTTGGCTGGAGGCCCTAAGGAAACTGGGAGGGGAGTGATGAACAGTGAGAACAAGTGATGTGTGAGAAATCACCTGCACTTGCCCTTTGAGTCAGCAGCCAGTGTGAGTACTTCGGGGGGGGGCTTGGGTGACAAATGAGAAATTTTTCCTCTTGTTTGGAAAACTCAGCAAGTCCATGCTAATGTGAAGCAATATATCTTGAAGGGGAGAGCCAGCCAAGACCTAAAAGGCCTGGTGAAGTGCTTACTGTTAATTTATTTGAGGAGTAAGTAAATATACATTATGTCATTGTATATTCAGCAAGTGCTTTTCCAGTGGAAGGACACATACAAATCACAGTAATGTTTTTTCTTGATGCATTGGCCAAACCATTGACCATGTCTGTGGCTTTTTTTTCCTTCCTAGAGGATTAATCAACAATCCTAACGTATCATATCACTCTGTTAATCTTAAAAAAAAAATAAGATGCAAGAAAAATATATAATGTATTTATTACACTATTCTGATTTTGTTCTTTTAAGTGCTAGGTGACAGGTAGCAGCAGACAGCTTTGAAGGGTCCAAATTCCCTCCAAAACCTCAGTAAGCAATTTATACTTCCTACCTGTTAGACCTTTCCCAAACTGTTCAGTGATAATTGTTTTAAGGATTAATCAATAGTAAGTCACTGTTGGCTGCTGCACCTGGTCCCAAAGTGGGGGAGGAAGTGGCAGGAGCTGAGGTTTCCTTTTTGGGTGTGTTTAATAATTTCTAAGCAGGATGGAATGGATTGGATAAACTTAGCTTTTGATCTTGTGGGTTTTAATTTTTAGTCATTAAATTGTTGGCTGCTTTTACCTTACATCAGACGTGCCTAAGCAGTAGCTTTTATGGCAACATAGTGAAAAAAGGTGAGACAACTCCATTTCTGTCCCTAATCATCCAGTTACTGCTCACCATCCTGGCTAGTCACTTTGTTGAAACAGGAAGGTTTAGGCTTCACCTGGGGACATTTATGTTAAATATGAAATTCCTTCCACATGGGAGTGCAAATTCAAGCAACCTACAGTGGTTAAAGGGTCTTTTAAACTGGCTTAAAACTAGCTTAAACCCAAATTTTAACTAACTTAAACTGAACTTTTTGGCTAACTTTGAGATCGTCTGTGAGAATCTTCTGGAAATTTCTGCAGGTGTTGTATTGAATCCTGTGGGCTTCTCACTAGAAAGCTATAAAGCAATCTCAGAAATCCACAGAAAATATTATGGACTTGACCATAATATAAGTGGACCATAAAATATATTAATCAAATGTCCTCAATTCCTGGTAAATTCCCTTTTCTTCCTAATGCATTATTTATTTTTTGTTTTAATATAAAACTGTCAAGTCTGGCCTATTTTCCACAATACCATTTGTTCTCATCTGAATGATTTTGCTGTTGGTAAGGCACTGGCTTATTAAAAAGCACAGGATGCTCTCAGTAAATTGGTATTACTTGACACCACCTGCTGCTTTCCTCCTAAAATGATTTCTTAAAATATGGTATATTCTTTTATTAAGTCAGCTAAGATTCTGCCTCTGCATCACTTCTCTTGATTACACGTTTTGTTTCCCAAATTGTCAAGCCTACTTTATCTCCTCTTACAGTATCATATTACATTTCTCCTTTTCATCCATCAAGTTTGATTTTTGGAGAGAGTTTCTTTGCGCTTCTTGGAAACAATTTAATACTTGGGAGAGAATAAAGAAAAGGCAAGAATAAAACAGTGATATATCAGTAAAGGAAGAAACATACCCCAGAGAGGGTGTGGGTTGGGTTGGGTTTGTACCAATATTTTACTCCTGCCTGTTACCCTCATTGCTTGTTTTTCTCTTTTTTTGATCCTTTTCTGTTGTTCTGTTTCCCAGCTCTGGGCCTGATTTCCAGGTTGGTTTGAGTGTGAGGGTTGTTTGATACACAATTATCTGAGGACTGTTTATGAAAGAACTTCAAAAATGTGGGGTTTGAGGTATGATTTCTATATACACAAAAGTGGACTTGCCTTTAGCACAGGGGGTTTTATAGTCAGTGTTTAAATGGTTCAGAGGGAGTCAGAGGAGTTTGTGTGTATCTTATCTATGTGTTTTGTTAGAGTGCTCTTGGATTTTGTGTGTCTAAAATTATTAAATAGGAAACTATTAGTAATGTCTGATGTCAGAAAAAAAACCCAATCTAAGATCTGGAGGTTCTGTCAATATAAATTGTGTTGGCAGAGAGCCAGCACTTCTCATTTATTTGTGGGTTACTCTCAGGAAACGCAGGGCTCGTCGGGCTGCTTTATAATTTTTTTTTTTTTTACCTATGTTATCCTCTAGACTTAGCTTGTTTATATTGTTCTAAAGGGCTTTACCTTGCTCAGCTCTGTGTAGCTGAGCTGAGTCCACACACAGCTCACTGCCTTGGTTTGATTTCTTCTGGGGTTTCGGTGCCGATCGCCAGTGCCGAGGATTTTCTGTTGGACTACAAAAGTTGGAGTGAATTAGAAGAAAAAAAACACAATCTACCAGCAATGTTGTAGTTTACCCACTGTTCTGAATTCAGGAGGAAAGAAATTATTTTCTTCCTGCCTAAGCTCTGTACTTGTTTGCAGAGATAACAGCAAGAACCTGACATGGAATTTCACTCCAAATCTATTGATGTAAACAGAAAGAGCTCCATTGACTTATGTGGGATTTGGATCAGGTGCTTAAAACTGGTGTTATGGAAAAAAAAAAAAACAATCACCAGGCATATTGTGAACTTGTAGAAACAGCTGTAGCGAATTTATTTTGCACAGAATTTAGTTACCTGGAGCTGTGGAGCCAGAGATAAGATTATATTCTCTTCTTTGTTGTGCATCTGAATTATTGCAGTGACACTGGTTCAGGCAAGTTGAGTAAGAAATTAAATGTTATATGATTTCACAGGTATTGATCTTCAGAATGCTATTAATGATCTGGGTAAATACCTGGAATATAAAACAGCCTCTGCTTGCTCTTGGGGATGCTTCTAAGTAATGAGAGATGGAAACTGAAAACACATCCTTACTAGTTGCTCTTGCCAATTATATTCAAGTTTTTATGTGTTCATTAGTTAATACTATCTTTTAAAAAAACAAAAAACCTAAACACTCTCTTGAGTTTACTACTCTTTCTTTGGCAATGTTGGTTAAAAGGAGAAAAATTGAATGATCTGTAAGTGCCTGCCACAGATCTGAATATAAAGACTTTGCATCCTTGTCTTTAAGCAAGTTCCTCAAACTCTGACAAAAAATGAAGAGATGAGTTAAAAACCAACAAACAAACAAAGCCCAAAGAACAAAAGCTCATGAAAAAAGTTTTGTAACATACTGCCTATACTTTTGCTGAAATACTTTTTGTTTATATCCAGGAGCTTATTTGGATAGGGACTTTTGATATGCTGTTATGGCTCTTTTGGGTACAATTCAAGAAATAACTTCTAAATTTCAGTATATTGAGCTTCTTGGCTGAAAGAACAGACCAAGTTAGGAATTTATTCGTCTGTATTATACAGTGTGGTTATCTAACACTATTTTTATTATCGAAGTGAAAGGTGTTTCTTTCCAGGGTCTGTTTTAGTTTTATTTCTTGGGTTAATCTAAGAAGTTTGAGCTTCCTGCCCCAAAGGAGCTGCTCTTCCTGGTACAGGTTATTGCCAGCTCATGTTGGGGGAGGTACCAGGACAGCAGGGATGGTCTCAGGTCTCAGGGAGCGCCAGAGCTGCATCCCTGAGGTTTGGGAGGACTTTGCTGCAACTCACCTCAGGTTGTGTGTCAGGATGCTTGGGACAGGAGTGTCTCCACTTCATTCACTGGTCATATAAGATATGAGCTGTATTTTGGGTGCTCAAGAAGAAGGAAAAACCAAAATCTCTTGCTAAATATATATGTTACTCTGACATGTGCCGATCTTCAAAAACTCTACACTTTGTCTCCTGCCTCCAGCAGATTTCAACAAACCTCCATGCCTGCTGTGGTTCAGAGAGTGTTCCTGTCTGCAAACTCACTCTGCGCCCAGTGCCACCTATTATTTTATTCTGAGGTGAGAAATCTGTACCTTTAGTTGGTAGCACCAGGGTCTCTGGGAGGTGTTGATTTGGCACATTTCTGCCTTACCAGTGAGATGATGGAACGGTAGAAAAGGTGAAGCCACCTTTTGAAAATAGCCTGTTCACCCCACAAGAGGTTAAAGGAAGAGAGTCTTTCCCTTGGAAATTCTATTTTTGTTTGGCTTTTTGGGTGACTTGACCTTTAAATCCAAAAATGAGAGAAAAAAAATTACTGTTCTAAGATAAGCCCTGTCCACATCTATGTATTTTGGGGGTTGTGCTTCCATTCAGTGCCTAGATGGGAAGGTATTGAAAGCTCTGTACAAAAGAACAAAGTCCAAACTGCTGTCCAAATTTTTCCCCTGCTCATGTTGTTGCTGATAATGTTCAGGAAGACACATGAAGCTGAAATATTTCCCAAGCAAGATCTCCCTTGTGGCCACACTTACCCAAACCAGCAACTCCCTGGGTTTCTGTATTATCCATAGGTATTGGCCCTGACCTGAAGAAAGGGAGAAGCAGAATGCTGAGTAGGGCAAGAATTGCAGTAATAATGAAGACTTTAATTTTATATTAGATTCATTTGCTCATCAGCCGAGAAAGAGCAAATACACACACAATCAAAATCCATCCTATAAACATGTTTGAATTCATTAATAGGCCCTCAATCTTTTTAGATGATAAAATTTTAATTAAAAATATTAATTCACTTGGCACCATGCTTGGGTGATTTCTTCCCTTCTTGCCTGATAAAATTCTTGTAGAAAGTTGACTATGCTTAAGGTTTTTCAGAATTAAACTGTTAGCTTAAAAAAAAAAAATTCAAATTCCAATTTTTCTAACAAAATAAGATTTTCTAGGCTTGGATGTTTTTGGACAGAATTTGTATGTATAAGTTGTTGCATAATTGAGTAGAAAGAGGAGTGGGTTTTAAATAATATATGCACAAGGAAGATTTAATGAGGAGGCTATTTTTATTAAAATGTTTGTTTGCCTAGAGGTTTAATATTTAAATAAAGCTGGGCAAAAATTAAAGAAACAAACCCCAGATATTTATAAACCCTATCGTCTCCACTGTATTGCATATTGTACTGTATTGTACTCTATATTCAGTCCAGATAATATTAATAATCAACATTATCTCCCTAAGGAATATGCACAGCTGAAGTGGGGTAAGTTTCTGTCAGTTTGGTTCTCTCTAGGGTTTTTTTGACCCTATTTCTAGACATTTCTGGGGTGGCTGAAAACATGGGTCTATGCCTACCTTTGTTCATACAAAGACTTCTAATAAGCAGAGCACTTATCACTAAATGTAGTAATTGCTTCCATAATTCTAGTGCTCTTGTTTGTGAGAAGTGCTTTAGTTTGACTGAAGCTCCCGTGTGTGTCCTGTCTCACTTCCCTGACAGATACACAGTTCTGGAATGCCTGAGTGTTGGTTAGTTAGGGGGTTTTTGGGTTGGGATGTGGATGTTTTGTTTAGGTTTGGTTTTGCTTTAGATTTGTTTGGTTTTTGGTTTTGTTTTGTTTTTTTTTTTTTTTTTTGGGGGGGGGTTGTTTGCTTGTTTTGCTTTGTTTTTGTTTTGGTTTGTGTTTGTTTGTTTGTTTGTTATTTATGGTTTTTGATTGCTGTCTTTGGGTTTTAACAATCTATTTACGAGTGGAGTACAAAACGAACCAGGAAAAAACAGCAATTGTCTGCAGCAGTAGGAAAAGCAAATTAGGTTCGTGGGTCTGCTTAGGAAAATAAAAGAGGAAACTTGGATTTCCCTTTCCCTTCCTCACTCCAGCCTTGCCAGTCCTCTTATAATTACCACAGATTTTGTTCAACATATTGTAGAGCTGCTTAATTGCCAAAACTCGGTTGTGCTCTCAGACAAACCCTTCAGGCACTGCTGAGATACTCATCAGGACTAGGACCTTAGAGTTTTAAGGTCCACATCCCAAAATACTTCTCAGTTGTACATCTATGTGTATTTCTGTGTCCCTGCAGAAGCTTTCCCCTTCAGTCTAGGTGTGGGAAATATCCCTCTCTTTAAATTTAGAAAGACAGCATAAACTTAGGGAACAAAAAAAAAGGAAGAATTTATTCAACATGTTGGGTCTTTCTCACACCGCGTTTCCAGGGGAAAAAGACCCCTTTGGTTTAAATTCCATACATTTTATATTTTCACAAAATCCCACCCTTTTCAGATAAGTTTTATTGTATTCATTTTTACCTGAAAAGGTTTCTTTTCTCTGAAAAGGGACTTTCCCTTTATCCCAACTGGCTGCAAGCCATCCCCTGTCAAAGGTGATGGATCTTCCTCTGTTCTTAGCCCGAAGAGAAGAAGAACCTCACGTACAAAATGGCCCTAAAAGATTTAATTTTAAGAATTTTCTCATTTCCCTTATCCTGCTGAAAGAGACCCTGGCACCCAAGTTCAGGTCTTGGAACTTGCATATCTTACAACTTCACGATACACTTATTTATATAAAAACCCATATTTTTATTTCTCATATAGAGAGAGCTGTGTCTGAGCATCTCAGGCAGAGTGTTCATTTATTGCTGGAGGTGACAGCCATAGAATATATGAAATGCTTTGGTTTTCTTCCATTTATAAGCATTGTGGCTTATAAGTGTGAGCCTCAGAACTGGACAAACTGCCATTTCATCATGCTGTTTATTAGCAGCTCAGTAAGAGCAATATATCCTTATTTAATGCCACCACCGTTTTCTCGAGGCGCTTTGGCACTTGGATGATGAAGAAATCTGTCATGTAAACTGTGCACCATTGTCTCCCATTCATTGGGCTATTATTTTGGATTTATACAATTAGGATACACGCTGTGTACTTATTTTACAAATGTACTCTCTGCAAATGAGTTTTCCTCTACTCCCGTGGAAGCCAAATCTGTTCATCTGTGCCTGTGCCACTTCACACCCTCACTGACAGTTTAAATTTGTTAGACAATCCATGAGATGGAAGTTCAGAGATTGGTTTTTTTCTATCTTGACTTCTGAGTACTGGTCTTTTAGTAGATTTTTAGAATCCTGTTAAGTGAGTGACTCTGACTTTTACGTGGCCATAAATCCAATTGTAATGAATTTCATCGCAAAAAGGGGGAATCAATGTTAGGTTGATTTAATGGTTGTTGTCCCCAAAGTTGTTTTGTAATCTCTTTCCTTCAGCTGGCTGTGGATGCAAGTTGTTCATGAGAAGTTAGACTGTTATTTTGTAATTTTCTGCCACTTTTTAATGAGGAAAGATATGCCTGTCTTCAGAGGGTAATGAGAAAGCCACACCATATGGAGTGAGTAGCACAGAGAGAGTGCCCCTTGATGAATTCATGGTGTCTCACTGCATCTACCTTGAGGGGAAAATGCTCTTGTCTATATATATAAATTAATTCTAAAAGTTCCAAGTTGCTACTTTCATCAAAGTATATGTAGTAGCCTAGCAAAGAAAACCTGAGCTGCTAATCCATGTTCTGCTTGACCAAGAGGTTATTTTTAGCCAGTGTCTCTCTCTGGGGAATCAAACTGTTTCCTAAAGAGCTTCTTATTTTGCACTGGTTGTGAGAGATCAGAGATCGTATTAAGTTACAGTATTGCTTGACACTAAGAGAAAAAAAATTCTTTAAGATGTCTTTGTTAGTTGCCCATGTATGTTTCGATGACAATTTTCACTTTTGCTCTATTTGAAATAAATAGGTGGGCTTGCCATCAAAGCTTGACTCTATAAAATGAAATTATAATCTTAGTGGCTGATGTATCATTCCCAGTAGCGAAGATGTTATAGGCCAAAAAATACCAACAGCTTCACTGCTGTATTTGTTTCTAGCCCTCAGGTGGAACTTTGCTCAAGCTGAAGCATGGGATGTGCAAGGCGCCAAACTGCTTTTATTCCTTGCTTCCATGGGTTCATTAAGTGCTGTTTTCACCTCCTTCTCAGCCAAATTAAAGGGTCAATGTAGAGGGAGTCAACACACAGAATTGCTGAGAGTGTGTTTGACGAGTAAAATGGGAGAAAATATGACCCTAAGTTTTTTTGGATGTTAAACGCATCTTCTATGCTTGTTTTTCAGAGCAGAGTTGAAGGTCCTGATGGAAGCAGAATGAATTTAGATGGCTGGCTATCTGTGCACCTCTTCCTCTCTCTGGCACTTCAGTGTTCTGTAGTTTTGTCTATGCTGATTTTTACCGCTTGGTAAAATTATTTTTATAGTTGTGTTCAAGACGGCTTTTTAGAAACACATCACAGAAAACTCTGTGGAATATAATTTTGACTGAAGTTTCACCATGCCACTGTTTGAATAGACTAGAAAGCCATCAGTATTCCCACTGTTCACCTCATCATCCATTCGTGTCCAGTCACTGCTTAAGCAAATTCAGCTTCTAGACCTGGATGTATAACCAGTGTGACTCCTACCTGATTATGAAATCCATTTTTGCTGGAAACGTGCATCCCTTCAGTAAGGAACTGCCAGTGAAATTCTCTACAGTGCTGTGAATCCAGGGTTTCAAATGCCTGAAAATCCTGGCATCAAGGATCTGTCTGTTCCATGGAGCCATGGATACAGAGAGAAGTGGAACGTGCTACTGCTCTTTATCAGAGGGTTCCCTGTGCTCTTGGTGACCGCAGACAAACAGGAAGGAAATCCCCAGGTATGAGTCTGAGAAAGCAAAATGATTCCAATAGTTCATCAATTGGGTCTTTTTGAGAGAAACACACCCCTCATTTTCGTCAGGGAGCGTGAGTGTGTTGGCAGCTACAGAGAAGGGACTTTGCTAGACAACAGAGCTTTAAACAGATTTAGGTGCATATTATTTCACTGATAGTTCAGCCTTGCTCCGTTCCTGGAAATGTTAACTGCTCTGCTGTGGGCACCATTTCCAAAATGTGACATGTCCCTCTGCAGCTCAACTCTATTTAAAGGGCTTTGTTTCTCTTGCTTTCCGTGTGTCTAAGTTCTCATACTCCAAACAACTAATATTTTATTTCTCTGTTGGCTGGATTAATTACTTTCAAAATGGACTGTACTCCTCTGATTGCCACAGCATCAGTGAGTTCTTGCCAAATTAATTTTCTGTTTGTAGATGGTCCATTAGCTACAATGGAAAACCTCTGTCCCCCAGGCAGAAATGCAAGCAGCACATCAACTCCTGTTTTGCTGTGTTGGAACAAGCAAATAGAGAATAAATACATCTGCCATCAGGTTGAATCCAGGCAGTTTTCCAGTTTGTCTTGAAATGATCAACAGACTGAAAACACTTCACTTGCTTCCGTTGGCCTTTTGAATTCACCTATTGAAAAGAGATAATGGCAAATGCATTTTACATAACGTCGAACAAAACAACATTACTGATGATCCTTGCCCCAAATAAAAAAAATCTTTATTCCTAAAAATAAAAGAAGCCCAGGTGAAGGGCTATAATAACTTAATAAAGCACCTTCTGTGAAAAAACTGCCACTCCCTGGAGCTGAACTCTCATTATCGTACAGCAGAGACAGTGGTGGGTTCTGAAATCATGTAAAGTGTTCTTAAGGCATTAAATAATTTTCACTTTCAGTGGCAGGTAATTTACATTACTTCCTCAGCTTCTGCCTGCTTAGGAGCCAACACAATAGCTTGTGGTCTATGCTAATCTATTCAAATGCTGGAATAAATTCAGGAGTGGAAAAAGTAGTGTAACCTCTTCATATTTCTAAACCTGTTTTACCATCTACTTCAGTTTCTTTCATAATCTTTAATCTCTGCCAAGGTCGGGCATGGCAGCAGCTAATGCTAGAGCAGCTCAGCAGCTGCTGCAAGTTTTAAGCCTTGCAAGAACGTGTTTCTCAGAGAGGCCAATGCTGCTTTGTTATATATATTACTGCAATTTATTTGGTTTGATCCTGTGAAGAAAGCTGGTCACAAGCAGCACGGAACAGTGCTTTCTTACAGCCCAAACAATGGTAACAATTTCCTATAAATATTTCTGCTCTGTGACCTGTTTTGAGCTGGAGAGATGAAAACAGAGGAAACTTGTGGCTGGCAACATCTTGATGAAAACTTGGATTATACCTTTTTTTTCCCCCCCCAAGACTAAAAACATGTTCACCTCTTGCAGAAAAATTCTTCTGATACTGTGTAACAGGACCACAGTAGTTATGTGGTACCCAGCAAGAGAGGAGATGACAAAATACAACCAGAGCTGTTGCACAGACCTTTTGGAAAGTTGCCCCACTGCTGAGAAACAGAGATTTGCTGGGATTTGTTTTCCAGACCATACGTGCACAAAATCCTGGGAAAGGGACAGTGAGATTGCAATTGAGCTTTTCAAATTTTTACATCTGCAAGACATAATAGAAATAACACTGAAATCAAAATCTCCCGGGGTTTCCTCAGAAATGTGATTTCCTGCAGGCACGTGAAGCGGTGAGATGAGTGAGTGGAACACACAACCCACCTGCTGTCAGGACAGGCAGTGTGGGCATAGCATTTGCCCTTCAAGGTCCTGAACAGAATGAGATGTTCACTCCCCTTGGAGGACGTGCCAGACTTGGCCATTTTCATGTTGGCTTCTCACTTGCCTGTGCCTGCCTGAGCCTACAGCCATATCCTTGGCCATCCATATGGTCTATTTCTCCTGTTAGATCCTTGCTGGAAACATCACTTTGATAATCCTGTGACTTTGCTTTTATTACTGTTCTTATATTTAAATGTTAAATAAACTGAAATTGCTTGCTTGACCACAGAGAGAAGGAATAAAAAATAATTGAGGTCTCAGTGAGGTAGAGAGGCAAAGACTTTTGAGTAGCATGGGTAGTTTCTAAGTGGTTTTGATGCTGGCTCCAAATGTGCTCAAAATGGGGGATGAATTATCAAACCATAACTTGCTCTGTATTGGCTCCAAAATGCCTCAACTGGGCAGGACTGGGTTCGTGTGCACTGATCTGATGGGTTCTTTGTGCTTCAGACACATTGCATCCTCCTGACACAGCTGAAGTACACGTGGAGCACATCCTGGACAGCTGTTCCAGCTGTACAGTTTCCATGTACTATTCCAGCCGGGGTCAGATGTGTGGAAACCCTTTGCAAGTGTCTAGAGAGCTCATTTATCCAGGACAAAGTTTTCAAGAGGAAAAGGATAATATAAGGGTATTTCTTTATATGATCCCTTCCTACCCACTGTTTCTAGCATGGATTTTGATTTGGTTGTGGAGTTGTTGAAAAGCACATACTGCCACTGTCCTGGCCTTGTTTGTGACTGGGACTGCAACAGCCTCATTAGTGTTCCTGGGACTGAAAGTCTGGAAAGATATCAAAACTGGTGTTGGAAGTGAGCGTGCCTGGCAAGTCCCCTGTGAACAATGTTCCCTTGGCAGAATGGATGCTAATGCTAAAAGTTTGCAAGTGGGACAAGGTGATAATTTGTCATTTTGCCTCTTTAAGCATCTGCACTTACAGGACAAGTTGCTGAAAAAGCAGAGTTAGTGACAGAATTTGGCTGTAAGATCCCAATTCATTAGTTTTACATTAATGGAGCAGTGACTGGTCTAATTGAATTTCTGTTGAGTTGTCCCACGAGGAAGTAGTGGTCATTATTATTTTTGTGTGTAATACAGAGGCTCAAGGAGGTGAAATCTCTTAAAAACTCCAATATACATATTAATTTCAATGAGATTTTGAAATAGTTACAATTATCAGTCTAAAGCTCCTATTTTGATGGTGTCTGAGCGTGTGTATGCATATTATGTGTGCATACATCTATAAACACACATGTACACTATTCCCCTTCTCAGGTGTGGTTTTCTCTATATTTAACTTACTATTGGTGAAGGTTTAACTTTAAATACTCCTTCACTTTTTTTAATTTTAATTAAGAATTTTTACTGTGTTGATATATCCCATGAATGCCATTAATCTGTTTTGGGGTTGGCAATATTTGGTATGTTGGGTAACACAGTACCTGTATCCAAACAAACCAGCCTGTCATCAAGCTTTTTGAGTAAGTTACTTGCTGTTTTGTGTTTACTTGAAGAGTCTATAGCCTGAGAAGGAATGAGAACTTAATCCTTCCATACACCTCAGTTTTTCTAATTTCTGATTTCTCTAATTTCTTCTAACTTTGCAAAAGTTCTTCGTTGTTTAGTGAGGAGTGGAATAACCTTTAACCTGAGTAGTTTAAATGAACGAGACAGTAGAACTGCAATACTTTGATACTTTTTAGAAATTATAAATGATTGCTGCCTTCAATTGTATCCACGTGGACTAAGATTTGAGAATCAATTCTATTAATAATTATTATTGGCAATGCAATTTACTCAGAAATTTAATAGCAATGCTCCAAATATCCATAATGTTACCTCTTGATGGTGTGTTCCCTCCCAGCAAAAAAATCAACTGTAAATCTTTACTTTGAAAACAACCTGAAAACACTTATAGCTATTTCAAATATTTAAATTAAATCTGTAAATATTTATAACTTGCTAGTTGACATGGCACATGTTATATTTTCTAGTGGCAACATAAGGCATGAGATTCCTAGCTAGGAATGTCAGAGTATCTGATGGAAAAATAGTAATACATTCTTACTTGACTGTGTTAAAGAATAAATGATGCCAAAAGCAGAAAAAGAAGGGACACAGGTCTGGAACAGCTGAGCTTGTTTGTGAGTGTGCTTCCAGTGCTTGATGGTGCAGTTCCTGCACACATTTGAAGAGGTTATAAATAATCCATGTTTTATCTCGAAGAAAAGGAAACTCTACAGAAAGCAGCGGAGACATATAACTTCTGATTAAAAAGAAGTTCAGAATACCAAAAATGACAGATAGACATGTGTTCTTTGGATTTATTAATGACCACAGTCACCTTGAGTTTTCAGTTTTGAAATGGTCAGTGTTACATCATGTTCCTGTTGGAGCTTTTCAGGAAGACTTCCGTTGTCTTTTGTACATTGTTGAGAGTTTGGGATTCTTTTGCTTCTTAGTTGTTACAAACCTTTGTGTTTTTTCTCATTCATAATATCAGTGGCACCATATTATTTAGAGCTTAAGGATATTTGCACTGGTGTAACCTATGAGAAGGTAATCAATGATTAATGAAGTTTAGTTGTCTTGATTTTGGAGGTGTAAGTAGAATCTTCTACATATGTGGTGCATATGTATTTATGAATTATTGTGAAATACTGTGGACTGATAATTTCACATAATAAGAGCGAGATAGAGGGGATGGATGGAGTATCTTAAAACCAAGTGTTCTCAAGAAAGCCATAAGGGAATCCTTTTAAGATCAACAATTACAAACATCATGGAAAGCAGCATATTTACCAGACTTGGCAGCTGCCTAAAAGTAGTTTAAAACAAAGAACAAGAAGAAATGGGACTCTTTTTCAGTATAAAAATATTGACTTTGCCACAAAGTAAGTGAATATTGTACTTGATTCCTAAAGAAGAGCATTACTAATGGAAATATGAATGAACATAGAAAATATGACCTTCATAGTGGAAGAAAGCTCAAAGAATTTAGTGCTTCTGTTATGTGGGAACTGGATAGATATTGTTCAGAACATACATAGAAGGTCAAGGAGCAAGTTGTTTTAAGTCTGACTTGGTATCCAGATGAGTGGAATATAAAAAAATTCACAGTCTATGTTCAAATCTAAATAATCCAGGCAACACAAAGCAAATATGCATAAATATATATATGTATACATACATACATGTAAGATGCTGCATCCCAGAGGATGCTGTTGAAAAGGAAGGAGGCTGTTCTAGAGCAGTGGTAGGAAGGTGACAGATTTAAAGGCCCAGATGTCACTGTGGCTCCAAGATTTTGTCCTGCAATGTCAGCTCCAGCCTGGGTTTTGTTCTTGGTGCCTTATTATGCAGACCTCTCTCCAGATTTATGGAGCAGTTGCAAACACAGAAACCCCAGCCCCTTCACTCCCCCAAAATCCCAACCCAAACCCCTCCTGTGTTTTAGTGTTTCTGGAAGACCATATCCTCACTGTTTTTATTTGCATGTTCTTAAGGTTTCATAAGTAAAAATTAGGTAAATGTGCTTCTATTCTGATGTAAAAGAGCCCCTGAGAGCACTGAAAAACTACCACTTGGACAGAAATTCAGTGTTTTGGTTGGCTGCCGGTGGGCTTTCAGGAGAACACTGAGTTGTTGTTCTGGAGGAAGAGTTGGTGTAGTAGTGAAGACTTGTGTAGTACAAAATGATGAAGACGTGTAAAACAAAATAGTGAAGTGCATGAAGAGCATGTCAGAGAATCCTGAAACAGAGCCAAAAAGGGCATTTAAGAGATGGTAAGAATGTTGCTGCCAGATCGCCTCAGTGAGCTGTTTTAGAGCTAATCTTATCTGGTTTTCATTGCTGACCTTAGACCATGAAACTAGTCCGTGCTAATCAAAATGTCCTTTTAAAGTCAGGAGGGAATAATCAGTATAGAACAGAATTAGAATATTCCCTAGGGAAAACAGAAGGATCTGGAGGGGAGGAGTCATGAGGAGAAGTTCAGTCCTATATAATGTGAGCTCATAAACCCAGTTATGGGTGACATGGGACGTCTGTGAGCCACTTATTGATCAGCTGAGGTGGACTGTGTGAGGAAAACTTGTGGAGGAGCTGCAGCAAGGGAAGAAGTTATAACTGGAGTGTGATGTACAGCTCCATATGTTTTCCAAGAAGGCAATCATAGACTGCAATGAGTACAAAGAAAAACAGAGGCAGTTGCCCTGTGACTATAGTGGTCATTAAGAATTAATTTTTAAAGCACAGGAGTATTCTGTGTGACTTTGTGTTTATCAGTAGGTAAGAAAGTCAGTGCATTCAGTACATTTATAGGGTGCTTAAGTTGTTTGCCTTCATTATTTATTAAAACATTTGGGGTTTTCTGAATACATTTTTTCCTGCAGGTGCGAAGTAACTGTAATAAATTACTGTTTGAATGAATATTTATAATACAACACTGCTCTCAGTGCTGCAACATGTTATATTAGTCATGCTGGTTCTTAGAGCTTCCACGTGTATTTACTAATATACAGTTGTCTTACATTAAACACCTCACGATAAATTGAACTGTTTATTCTCTGATTTTAAAACAGTCCTCCTCTTTTGTAATTCAGGGATATTAAAGGTGCATCCTTCTAGACTAATGAATGGAAATAACCCTTTTTTTCTAGTGTTCTGACATAACAGTCAATACTTTATTTAGTTGTCCACTTTAATATCTCATGTGCTGCTTGCACCGGGATCCAGGATATGAGAAAGCAAATTCCTTGATTCTGCAATAATGTTATTTTTTGAATCAAAAGCATAAATACGAAGAAGGAGAGAACTAAAAGCACAAACTCTGCTCTGTTTACCTGTGTCATTTCTAAGAGTCAAGGAATGTGAAACAGTTGTGTTCACCACCATTGTTGAGTTGCAGGTAAATCATTTTGGACACTGAAGGGGTAATTTCCCAGCTGCTGTGCTGCTTACAAAAGATAAGTAGCAGAATCTCCATGTGGTCTTGGTAATGTGATGTCTGTGGGATTGAAAGCTCACAGTGCTGACTAACATGATTAGAAAAGTACTGCTAGGTCTGTTCTAATACCTTTTAATCATCAGGCAATTGTCTACACGTGGGAACAGCAAATTTATAAATGAACAAAAATAAGCACGGTGACGCATAATGCTTAAGGCTCTTCTGTGAAGTTGGAAACTAAAGATAAAATCGGAATAAATATACTGCAGGTAGCTACCTGCCTGTGTGCAAAGGTAAATTATAAGAAAAGAAAAAATACAACAGTTAAATTTCATAAAGGTAGATGCCTTATGACTAGGGTACAAATGATAATCACTAGTCAGGGAAGACTTAATATTTTGCAGTATTTAGCAAGATCATCTTTATGTTTGGATTCACAGCATTAAGGGCACCATGTAGTTTTGGATCAAAACCATATTCAAATCAGTAAGCTGCCCCTGAAACTTTTGGTTTTTGTTCAGCCCTTGTAAGCCATGTGTTCATGGATAAGAAATGCAAAGGTATCAGTGTGGGTGCCCAACTGTCTGCCTGCGTGTTACCTCATTACTTGGTGATCCCTTGTAGCTGCACTGAATGATGGCTCTAAATGTTCACAATTAGCATCACAGGTGGAAGGAAATCTGCCATAAATAATCTCCTAACAATATCAGAGACTGTAATTTTCCAGCTGTAAGCAGAACTGCTCCCATTTGGCGTGTGCTGTGATGAAGAGGAGCGGGAGACAGGCATTTAACTAGTTCAGATGTTCCCTCCCACTCTCCAAGCACAGTGGGAATGATGGAT